GTTTGTTTCATTTTTCCAACAGTATTTCAGTCATATAGGCGGGTAGTTTCCTAACCATTGTTCCTGGAGGGTTACACCAGTACTAGACTACCTTCCTCCGCGCTAAACTACCAAAGCATCTCCCGGGGATCAAACCCACGCCAGAGAGGTAACTGGATTAGAAGTCATCGACTCTAACCCCTCGACCACGGAGGCGGTTTTACAATAGTGACTAGTAACTTTAATACGCAACAGTTACTACAATGTGGTCATCTTATGTTGAATTTTACAAGATTTAGACTTATAAACGAGAGATATTCGAATGCCTTCATTTTATAGCTCATCATAACAAAACCGTCACTGTTGTACGAAACTACAGCTAATTTGTTGACAAAAATATTTGTGAGTTAAGCCTTTAAACTTACAACAGCAACGGAAAGAATGGTCCATTTAATTTTAACCACTTCAATATTTTATTCTTGTCACATGGACTGCAGAAACTGAAATGTCTGCCTTCCCATAACAAAAGCTGTCAGTAGCACAGCACACTTGGCCGTTCTTTTGGTTTGGATAATGCAAGAATTAACCAACAGAAAGATTTCATTCAAAATACATACATGCTGCCTATGCCATATTTGGTTTTTTTGTGATCTGCGTGGGATAAAAAAGCAACAGTAAAATCGGGTAGGATTTTCATTTTCCGCAAAAACTTTTATCTTAATTCAATTTTTCATGGGATAGAGTACATAATGTACATTTTTGTTGTGTATGTGTGTGTATTTTTGTCATAAAATGAAACATCGTCAGTTCCTGATTAAAATACTGGTTCTAACCAGGCTTTAAACTTATTTGATTAAAAATAGTGAAATACTAAAAAGTTAAAAAAGAAAAAAAAAACTTCACTGGCTTTTGTATAGATTTTCTGCCCCACGTAGATCACAAAAATGCCACGTGGTACAGGCACTGTGACATATGAACCATAACGTGTGAAAGTGTACAAAAGTCCATGCACAAATGGCCATAATTTGTCAAAATCTATGCCAGTGTTATGGGTTTTTAGAAGTCAAGTTCCAGAGAAGATAATTCTGAAAGTATTACTTCTAGAGTTATGAACTTTGTCACATATGGTGTTGTAGATGAAAAGGAATATATATTTCAAGTTGATACCTTAAAAAGTTAAAAGATAAAGTAAAAAATATTTGCACAAAAATTCTATTGGGACAACGGAGCCAGTACGACAGCTCTCTATATACTTCGTATACTCGAGCTAAAACGTACACCAACATATGGACAGCAAGGATGCTTTATATAATATGACATTGACATATGGTCTGTTGTATTGACATACATTGTATGATCTGTTGTATTGACTTATGATTAAGGGTATTGTCTTATGGTCTTTGGTATTGACTTATGGTCTTTGGTATTGACTTTGGTCTGTTGTATTGACTTATGGTCTGTTGATGTTGTATTAACATATGGTCTATGGTATTGACTTATGGTATGTTGTAATGACTTATGGTCTTTTGTAATGACTTAAGGTCTGTTTTATTGACTTATGTCTTTGGTATTGACTAATGGTCTGTTGTAATGCGTCATTGTCTGTTGTATTGACTTGTGGCATGTTGTAATGACTTAGGGTATGTTGTATTGACTTATGATCTATTGTATTGTCTTACAGTTTATGGTATTGAATGATGGCCTGTTGATATGCACTATAGTCTGTTGTAATGACTTATGATCTGTTGTAATGAATTATGATCTCTTGTATTGACTTATGGTCTATGGTATTAACTTATAGTCTGTTGTATTGACTTATGGTCTGTTGTACTGATTTATGGTATGTTGTATTGACATATGATCTGTTGGATTGACTTAAGGTCTGTTGTACTGGTTTATGGTATGTTACACACTGATTTATGGTATGTTGTATTGACATATGATCTGTTGTATTGACTTATGGTATGTTGTATTGACATATGATCTGTTGGATTGACTTAAGGTCTGTTGTACTGGTTTATGGTATGTTACACACTGATTTATGGTATGTTGTATTGACATATGATCTGTTGTATTGACTTATGGTATGTTGTATTGATTTATGGTATGGTGTAATGACTCATGGTCTGTTGTATAATCATCTTAGTTCTAGTCATAGAAAAACAAAGCAATTTAGTCGATACACATAAAGCAAAACGCTTCTTTGAGGAACAAAAAAATAAATATAAGAAGATTTTTGTAAATTTATTCCCACAAGTCATAAAATATTTTTTTTTTACATTTACTGAACCACCAGAAATATGAAGACAAATGGTCCAAAACTAGACAATTTCTGACAATTAAGGACATTTATGTCCAGTTCCATGTTCAAGATTTCATTATACATATTTTGTTTTAATTTAAACTTAACAAATGACATCATGCATATAACCGTCTTGCAATTCCATTCCAATTCCTTAAATTCTTTTTCTTCAACTTCTAAATTTAAGCATTCAAATCACTTCTTTTAAGTTTGTTTTTCCATTTTTATTTGCCATCATTTTTCAAACAAAGTCTAAAACATTCACTCACAATAACATAATATCATTATCATATTCAAACTTAACATAAATATCAAAACTTTTTTAATTTCTTCAAATTTTCTATTTAAGCCCAAAACACTAACTTCCATTAGATTTTACTCTCATTTCTTCCCTACACTGATTCAGGAACAGTGTTACATTTTTGTTAATGTCATGATTCGCTCCATGAGTAACCGTGAGTATAGACTGAGCTTGCTCCAGATTCCTCGCTGCATCTTCCATGTACTGTACATATAACTGTAACTTCCCCACTTTAAACAACTGTATAGCATAATTTGGGCTGTACTTCGGGTAATATGTACTACAATACAAAAAGAATACAATCAGAGAAACATTAAATAGAGGATATTCAATGAGTGTAGATTTTATACTTAATTTATTGGATGTATTGAATAAAAGCATATAATGCAAGCCTATGGCGAGCATTATATTTCCATTCAATAAGTTACACGAATGTAATATTCTATTTATCACATTTCCAAAATATGACAGTTTTTCAATGATGCTCCATTAGTGTAAAATTAACATTAGCACATTTTTACAATATGTCTGTATATAATATGATGACTGTCATCGCATCAAAATGTTATAACATTACTTAGTATAATACAGTTTTTATTAAATGGCTTCACTCTTGCGCCATGGCTTTTGTGATAAACATGCATATCACATACATTATTACTGTCTAGTGCACACCTACATTCTTAATTACTGGTATAAGTGCAACCTCTGACAACTGGCCTTGTGGTCTAGGATATCGTTACTTTTGCTTGTAAGCAGTAGGTCAGGTGATCGAATCCCAGCCAGGATATTTTTTTCTGATGCATTTGCATCTTTCTGTTGCAAACTAAATATGTTTTTAAGGACATGTACCAATACATGTATAACATAATGTTACTCTTTACCTAAATAGTTATTAATTAACTTACTTCTTAACACTTATGACTGTACAAACATATTTCAATAAACTTTTCTTGTTTTTTTGGTTTAAGGTAGTCTTACAGTAATGCTTTCCCGCCAAAAAGTTTCTTGCATTGGCCAATATCGTAATAAATCGGTCATTTTTACAGAATGTTATTATTCACAATCTTCAGTATGTAATAATTTTTAATCTTTTATAACTGGAATTTAGTATACAGCGATAAAGGATGAGTGATTGTAAATAATTTAATGCCCCAATTTTTGAAAAAATAACATTCTGGCAATTATCGATTAGCTACAATATTGGACGATGTTAGAATTTTTTAGCTGGAAAGCATTACACTAAGACTACCTTAATGTCGATTTTAACATATTTTTGGTGATATATATATTAGCAGTTGGGTATTATTCATAGGACACTAATTGTCGTGGTTTTTGGGGATAGATCAGTCCACAAATGTAAAATCAAAAGAAATTTTATTTTGTATGCTGTAAGATTATTTTGCATTACATCATTTACATTCTTTTTTTGTGTGGAAAAATAGACAAAAAATCCACTAATTTATAAACACACGAAAAATGTACTTTGTGATCAAACCATAAAATTTCATGACCACGAAATTATGTGAATTTACAGTAATTTTAGTCATCATCATACAATTATTCAAGGGATCTTACCTATAAGCTTGTAATGTTTTCTGGCCATATTTAATGGCTTTCTCCCAGTGTTCTTCTTCTATGGCTACATCAAAAGCCTTGTCCAGCAGGCGTACACTATACACGTTCATAGGGTGAAGAATGTTTGTGGTTTCTTGTATCAACTTCTTACATTTCTCAAATACCTTTTTGGAACCTGAAAACATAATTCATTAATCAGAAAAAAATTCAGCAATTTGCACAATTTGTCTTAAGTTTCTTTAAAAGATGGATGAATAGTGGTGATGATTTTGGTAGTTGACACTCGATTACAGCATGAAAGCCACTTTAAATTCACCGGAGCACAGCTCAGCCATCGCATTGTGTCTGGGAAGGCTGTCAGGCAGTTTACCAGTTACACAAGGATATTTGACTTTCATTTTCGCAAGGAACATATATTATTTCATTACATGCCAGCACAAAGGTACACGTGTGAATGACTGTAGAAAGGATTTAATAATCAATCAAAATGCAAGTGACCTGCACCTTCCGGGTATCAAACCCAGGTTGCCCAATTCATAGTCTAGAGCTTAACCAAATGAGCTATCCGGAAGTTAAATGATATAAATATAGTTGAAATTTTCAAAAGCAATAGATAAACATGTTTGACAGCATTAAAAAATATGAGCCGCGTCACGACAAAACCAACATAATGCGTTTGCGACCAGCATGGATCGAGACGCATCCGGGCAGTCTGATCAGGATCCATGCTGTTCGTTATCAGTTTCTCTACTTGTTATAGGGTTTGTAAGCGAACAGCATGGATCCTGATCAGACTGCGTGGATGCGCAGGCTGGTCTGGATCCACGCTGGTCGCAAACCCATTATGTTGGTTTTGTTGTGACGCAGCTCATATTATGTAATTACCACTAAGGGACACTTACTTCCAGATTTCTTTTCTTTATCTATAATGTCCAGTTGTGTTTTACAATCATCAAGAACAGCAAGGGCACCTTTCTTCAATTCTGGAGAAAAATCTTTTGTCCCACACTTTCTACATGGCTTGAAAGTATTTCCTGTTATAAATGAACTTTTTGTCATATTTCAAGAAAAAATTGTCAATAATAATTATTTATTTAGTTGGATTTTAAGTCATTTCAAACACTGTATTGGTAATATAGCAAATTTCTGGCTTAACTGGTGGAGGAAGACCTCATTTGCCTTTTTGTGCCATCATTTTGTGCACAAACGGGCACCTCAGTAGAACCACCAACCCTCCGCAAGATAGCTGGATAGCTTCCTCTAATGAAAGAATCCAGTTCTGGATGGTATTCAAACCCGAAGCTGTAAGGGGCAAGTGATATTAAGTTGGTGACCATAACCAGCTTTCTGGGGTCTCCAGTAAAATCAAGAGATCTTGTGGCAATAAAAATAAATGAGACTGTTTGTTGCATGCAAAACTTTAAGCAAGAATTTTCAAAGTTCAAAAAGGGCCATTAAAATCCAAACAAAAGTTATGAGTATAAATACATGATAATATAATGATATCAAATAAGTGTATGAAGTAAATATCTTTTATAGCCGAGATATCATATACAAGAAGTTGCATGTGGAACTTTTTACTGAAAAATTATGCCTGCTCCATCACAGAAGCCAGGGTGAGTAGATTAGCCCCATTATTCAAACTTATAAAACAAAATAGGTGTCGCTGTTCAATTCTGTATATATAAACAAACTTACCCTCTGTTAAACACACAAGACCATCACAATTCTGAACAGGACAACAAAAGCTTGTCATTGTTTCATTCTGTAAATATGAAAAGAAAAATATAGATGAAACATGTTTTCTTAAAACTACATTTAGAATAAACTGTATGTTTATATAAGGGTTTTTAATTTCACTGTCCAGTTAAAAGAGATTTGAATGAAGAGACATAAAACGTCATTTCCACTATTCATAACAAACTATACTCCCTGTATATCCAATGCAGGGGCAGCAAAATCAATTGCCCAGGTTTTCCCACAGCCTGTACGGCCAAGTTGAGTTTCTCAAGAATTTACTAGAAATCATACTGACAAGTTAGGAAATGGTTTAGATAAAAACAGACAAGTAAGTCAAAATCAGTTATTGCTGGCCCTGGTCCAAGATCTACACTTATTTGTTCAAATAGTCAGACAACTGAACAAGAGCAACTGTGTAAATGAGTCAATATATTACTATTACATGTGTATATATTATTTTATTTCAAAGGCATTTCAACCATCACATAGCTTGTTTGAACAGTTATAATGCTGTCTAACTTAAGTACGCATTATTCTTGATACCTTTTAGTAAAAGGAGATAATCACAACATTTGTTGGTGTTCTTTTTTTGTTCATTTTCAGACTTACCATTATTTCACCTTTATAACACAGAGATGTCAGTGTTTTAAAGAGGTTAAGGTCACTGCCTTGAAAAAAACTTCCCCTTTACTGCTACAAGTTCAAAGGCAACCAAGAAGTTTGAATTATTTTCAGGTGAAATTTTCCTGTAAAAGGTTTGAGGATTTGTTTCGGTGAAATTGGTTCCAGGTATCAGTATATTTAGATGACTGTAATGTAAACAATTACTGAATACAATTATATGGTTTAACCGTTACCTCCCTTTAATCAAAAAGTATTGTCACCCCAAGAAAATGCAGATGTTTGTATATTCCTTCCAGTGATAGAAATTTCGCTGAATTTATCATTTACTTAATTACATGTTGACCTAAATGTATATAAAAACAATAACTACAGTTGTAAAACTAGTTACACGAACATGTAGTTAGTTATTAGTTATTCAAGTGCAAAATTTGGAAAAAAAAAAAAAATTTAAATTAAGATCAATTATTATTCTTTCTTATTTTACTGTACAGGGGACCCACTATGTGCCATTTTGTGTAGCATTTATGGCATATGAGGGTAAATGAGAAAGACCCGCAACCTTCCTAGCTGTATAGTTTCCTCGCTAGTAAAAAAAATTCAAAGCCAAATTTCAACATACAGTGGTTGGAGGCAAACAATTTCGATTTGAGCCGCGTCACGACAAAACCAACATAATGGGTTTGCGACCAGCATGGATCCAGACCAGCCTGCGCATCCGCGCAGTCTGATCAGGATCCATGCTGTTCGCTATCAGTTTCTCTGCTTGTAATAGAGTTGGTAAGCAAACAGCATGGATCCTGATCAGACTGCGCGGATGCACAGGCTGGTCTGGATCCATGCTGGTCGCAAACGCACTATGTTGGTTTTGTCGTGACGTGGCTCATTTGTCAGTGACCTAAGTTCTTGGCCAAAGAGGCCACATAGAATATCTTTCATGTTAATCTAATTGCATTTAAATATAAAAGATGCTGATTATCTGAATAACACAGTCTGCAAGCAGGCTAAACTAGTAAAGAATCTAAGATAATTTGTTCTTTCTTCCTATCTATTAAGAGAACTAGAAGATGTCTTATCAAATTAGACCGGCAGAGTGACATCACTTACATATTCATCATCTACACATCTCTCACATTTACAATCAAAGTAATATTGTTCCTTCAATGCCTTTTGTCTCTCAGTGACTGGTGACAACTGTTCCACATAGCTGATAAAAACCTGCAATAATAATAAAGTCAAATACAATTACCGATTATATATATTCTATACAATTCGAATAAAATCGTATTAAGCAAGATGATATTTTGTATATTCAAGTTCAATAGTTTTTGTATTGAACTTACATGTACATGGGTATAAAACACTAGTCATCACATATCCAAAATAAGAATGGTTTTCAGCCGGAAAAAAAGAAGAGCCTTTTTGTAATTTTAACTTTATCACCATTTAACGCTATGTATGTATAATGCAAATGACATCACGTTGTGCTCATGTTACACTATATACATGTCATTTTTATTAAATGGCTTTATTACACCAAGGCTTATGTGATAAATGGTGAGCAAAAATAGTACCTTGCTTTAGTAGTATAGACTATCAACAAATGACCAGAACAATGTTGTTTTTATTTAGATACAAACATTTTAATTTGTATACATGTATATTACTGTAACATTGATATATCTGTCTTTACAGCATATGACACTTCTTATTTTTCTGGGAAGTTACCTTATTTGGAGATGGATCTGGAATGTCCTCGGTCGCCCTGACAACCAAGGTACAACCATGGAATGTTGCTACAGCATTTGGTTTACAGCTATGGTCTAACATTGATCCACTGGAAATATGGAACACATTATAAATTATTTACTACTGAATCAGAAAAAAAAATATCACCACTGTCCTCAGCTACATTTCAAGGTCATTTTAGGTCAAGGTCATATTTAAAAGTCAAAATGTAGATGAAAGTGTGAGACAATTAACCGGAAAACAGTTGTAACTCATGGGCATTACCTACACAGGTGAGTTAAAATGACCTTCAGTATTTAATGGAATGAATAACATTGAATATAGATATGTTCAGGTATATATAATTTTCTAAATCATACCAGTAACCTTTCACTTACCTAAGGTATATACCCGTGCCCAAATCTTTGAGTTCGCCATCAGAGATTGTAAAACTGTTTATGACCATCTGTTTATGAACAAATAAATAATATAAAATATATTATATACATTGCTTAAACTACATTGATACTATGAAAGGAACCTATCAGAAGTGAATAAAATGGACATTAAAAATATAGATTCCCAGTGCATAAAAAGATTTAACCAAAACTGAAAACTATGAAAAGAACCTACCTGAATTAAAATTTCGAAACAGATGTTTAAGTTTATAAAAAGATTTAAGCACAATTGAAATGTATGAAAATAAATTATCATGAATAGTCAAGCTAAGAATGACATATTCATAATCAATTCCAATGTATAAACAATCTATTGGCATTGTCTTTTCCCAAAGATTATTCGAATGTCATACCCTGCAGAAAGTATCATACAGTTCAGCAGCTGATGGAAGGCTGACAGCTTTCCCAGCATATTCAGTGAGAGTGAACACCATCTTTCCGAATTGTTCCGTTCTTGTCTTGTCAGCTCGAATTTCTTCAGAGTCTGGAAAAAAAATGTTTTGTTTTTATGTTTCAACCTTTATCCAGCTTGAGCCGATATCGATAAGCTTTGTGTAACCAGTATAAAGCCACAACAGTCAGCATTTCTGTACAGTCTCACCTCTGGCAGCTCTGTATTGTTGGAAGCCTATTTTCTGTTATTAAAACTACTGATACTTATGGACGGCAAACTGAAAGCAGGGCTGACAAATTTTTTCATTACCTCGACTTTTTTCCGACGATCCTGGCCAGATAACAAAAGTTGACTGTATACAAATTTAGCAGACTAAAGGGCATGGTATTTTTCTTTCAGCCATGAAGCCTATATTACAAAAAAAACAAGCAATTATCATAGTATTGCAAGCAATCCATAAGTCCCCTACCGGTAAGAGCCCAAGCAACATTCTGAAGGGCCATTGGCCATTCACTTATGTTCCTATTTTAAGTAAATTTGTTGAAAAAGTTCTTTAAAAGTGATCACAGGAAACAGTTTTTATGTACAGACAGACGGACTGAAGGACACTCTAAAGTTATTTTTTAAACATCCCTGTTTTCAAAATATAACATTTTTAAAATCCTATCATGATTGAAGAAGTTGGGAGTAAAAATTACCAATTTCTCAAAAAAAAAGTCTAAGTTCAAAAGGGGCATAATTCTGGAAATAGTCTTGCTATCTAGAGTATTGAACACTCACAAATGTTGAGTGATAATAAGAAACATTTATATGAAGTTTAAAGTAGATACATTCAGAAAAAGAAGTTATTAAAAAAAACAATGTTTTTTCATGAAAATTTTAAGTTCAAGGGAGGTAATTCTGATAACTTTTGTGCTAGAGTTGTAAACCTTGTCACATATGATGTGGTTGATGACAAGCAACTTATATTTAAAGTTTGAAGAAAATACCTAAAGAAATAAAGAACTTATAGTGAAAAAAACTTAAAAACTAGAATCAGAAATCTTGAAATTTCAGTCTATTTGTTGCCATAGCAACCAGAATTTTCAACATAGGAAGATAAGAAAAGGATGTGCATAATTTCCATACTGCCATCTACCCATATGTCAAATTTCAAAAAAATATTTTCAGTACTTTCTGTGTTATCACTGGATCCAGGTTATGTGTAAAATTTGCCATATTTTCAGTCTATTTGTTGCCATAGCCACCAGAATTTCCAACATAGGAAGAAAAGAAAAAGACGTGCATAATCTCCATACTGCCATCTACCCATATATCAAGTTTCATAAAAATATTTTCAGTACTTTTTGCGTTATCGCGGGATCCAGGTTATGTGTAAAATTTGCCATATTTTCAGTCTATTTGTTGCCATAGCAACCAGAATTTTCAACATAGGAAGAAAAGAAAAAGACATGCATAATCTCCATACTGCCACCTATCCATATACCACGTTTCATGAAAATATTTTAAGTACTTTTTGCGTTATCTAGGGATCCAGTTTTGTGGACGGACGGACTGACGGACGGACGGACGGAGGGTAAACCTAAAGTCCCCTCCGGTAAACCGGTAGGGGACTAATAAGCAAATTACAGGACTGATAAAATGCTTCAAATTAATGTTTTAAAATGTCAATATCTGGATCTGCAAAGGTAGAAAGATGAATATTATCAAAATCAAAAACTTACGTGTCATCAAGTCATCAAACTTTCTTGACCATGGAGAATTCATTGGCAAATCTTTACTCTTTGTGATGATCAGCCGTAACATCAATCGTACAGAATCCATTGGAATCTTGGGTGAAACCTGCTTTAAGCATTTGCATTCTAACTTATGGACGGCCCAGTCTCTTTTCTAGAAATAAAATAAAATTATATATCCACCATTTCATTATCATGTTATTTCTTTAAGATGATATTTGTAAGTAACATTTTTATAACTTTATTTCAGCTGCTTCAAACAAAACTTGATCTATAATAATCAGCTTTATTAAATAGCAAACCTCTGTTCTGCAAAGTAGCCCTCTGTACAGCAATTACCTCTATACAACAACTCTTTCAGTTTTACCTAAAGCAAGAATTCACATTGTTTTACCTCTGTAGAGCAACATCTATTGCCAAGGTTGTTCAACAGGCACAATAATTTCTGGAGGGAGGATGTCTTTTTCAAACATCAAATTAATGAGAAAAGCTTACCTAACTGTAAGAAACTATACAGGTTTATTATACAAATACATGTATATTACGGTAAATGTAAAAAAAAAAGGTTTTTATTTACCTGACAGGCTTTGTCGCAATACCAAACTTCCCCACAACCGGTGCATTTTTTAAGTGAATCTCCACTGTGAAAACATAAATATAATATGGATGTACATGTAGGCCTAAATTACACAGTTTCATACAGTTTCAAAACAAATGTACTGACTAAATTTAGAGTAAATATGGATATTATACCTATGAAATCAAATGCCTAAGTTAACACCATAAAATACATTGAAACTATGTACCCAGGTGAAGTGTTGACCACTTAAAATACATGTATGCATGATTAACCGCTGATAACGTGATTATTGAGATAGTGGCATAGCCTATGATAGGTGTATTTCATCAGTTATATTTGACTAGAAGAACAATAAATTTTAACATTTTTTAAAAGCTTGTAGTTTATTCTATTCCATATCTCTTCCATGATTCTCATGCTATAATTATATCAGTTAATGACATTATCCGAATATTATTTTTCATCCGATTATTATTTAACTACAACCAAAGAAATATCCCAATAATGAACGACTTGCCTAGTGAAACACCTATCGCAGAGGGTACTCCTATGTTCCTGTAATAAGACATGACAATAGGGTTCTTCTTCAAGTACAGCGTTTCCAATTTTCATCTCGAATTAGGAAAAAGCGCTAATTTATATTTAGTCTACTTTCGCGCTATTTTACACGGTGACAGTGCAACAATTCACTCCGATAAAACATCCTAGGTTCCGAAATGACAAGTGCGGTGTGACCCGTTGCGTACATGTCAATTATGTGAGTATATTGAGGCTTTTTAACAATCTGAATTGTGAACATGACACTGAACTGTACATCTGGAAGATCCCAACAGAGATCTAGCTACAATGATGATTCAAAATTATTTGAATGTTTCTTGAAAGAAAGAATCCTAAAGTTACTGTGAGACTGTGAATATAATTTTTTATACTTGGGCAATAATTAAAAAGCTTTTGAAAAAATGAAAATAAAAGCTTGTCTAGGGCACAATTGGCCTTTATATGTCAATTTCATTATGATTTTTTTAAAGGCCCGCTATCACCAGAAATGCTTTTATTTTTATTTCTCAAAAGCTTTTTATTTTTCTTTTTGCTTCTATGGCCTTTTGATAATTAGGACAACTGTTATAATAATTAAGTATTTTGTATGGAAGTCAAAATACTTCTTTGTTTACATTTTGCAACTTTCTTTCTTCATATGATAAGCATCTAACATACACTAAAATAATCATTTCAACAGACAACGTTATCAAACTCATGATTTCTCTTTCTAAAGAAGGAAAATAAAAGAATTCAATTCTCTTGCCATAAACTTCACGATGACTAGTGAAAACAGGCAACGGCCGCAGTCCAAAAAGCGAAATCGAACTTAAACGGCTTTCAAAATATGTGCCTATTCCAGCATGTTAAAAATTATATCATAGTAATTAAGAGACATACTTAAACGTCATTTCTTCCGTGTTCATTAAAAAAACAAACTTCTGGCATATATTTTATTTCAAAACTAACAAATGTATGACCAACCTATGATTGATTTGGTAGCGGTAACGTCGTTTGATACACTGTTTGATAGAACAACAACTTTCATTTTCTCTTCCAATATTTTTTTTTCTCTCAATTTATGTCAAATGAACTCTTTTAAAAATCTCAATGCATATTTTCGTAATTTTAAATCTTTACTTTAAGAAGTTGGTGTTAACCAGTTATAGGGGAGGGCCCAATATTGCTGCAAACGCTTTTGATGTTCGGAAGAAAATGACCCAGCCCTTTTGTATACTTTTTAGAAATGTTTATGTATTAATGATGCATGTTTATGTATGCAAAATATTATTATACTAAAAAGCGAATTATATTGCCTTGAAATGTTTAGACAACGTCATGGCTAACGGTTTGAATATATGAGAAAATATAAAAGCATCCTTTACAGACAGGGCTGCTAAATTAATACATGATACCTATATTTTTATTACACATGCACTGTATGTAATCTTTACAGACATATCCTATAACGACCACCTCTGATTTGTTTTCCATTCATTTCTTATCTAGCTTTATAAATAGTCGTGTTTCGTGTTTGTCCCTTGTATGAACCTCAAAAGTTGACAAATGCCATTCTTGTAGTCAAAATCGGGCACTGTACCAAGGTTTAAAACAAAACTCTATACCATAGACTGTTTATTTTTGCGACATAAATGTAAACCCCTTACAAACTGATGATTAATAGCATAACGCATAACATAACATATATTTTATTCAAACATAAGATTTATAGCCATACAGTACAAAATGTAAATGTGCCCTCTCTAGCTAATTAATGATAAAACACTGGAATTTTATACACAACACATTGTTTTTCTTTATTATTAATGTATAAAGAAACCTAGCAAGATAAGGATTGTGCATATATATTTAACATTATGACATTGTAGTTTGTGGAATATACACACTCTAACATCCAATGATTGTTATACTTTATTAAAAGTGTCCATGTTAGCTAGATAATTTGCAGTTGCCTTCTTATAAACTGCGTCACATTTTTTTCCCAAAAAAGTGAAAGTTTGAAGAAAAAAAATTTGTTTAACTGCTGTTTATCATAAGCTCTTGAACATATATTTGATACTAAATATACGCAAAAACACACATCTGACAATCGAGAGTTGATGGTATGGTTGAGTATAGCATAGATATTATCTATAATTATATGATTATCTAAATAACTGATATCATGACATTTATTAACATTGTACGAATTGAAAGTTTCACATTACTAGATGCTATTATAATAGTAAACATTCTATTCCATTTTGTGTCCAGTCTTTCTTTCTGACCGTCATGGTATATAGCGATATCGTTCAATATCATTGTTTAATATTTTGCTGCATTCAACAGCAAACGTAATAATTCGCCGAATAATTACGTAACTTTTGTTTGCATCCTCTAGCAACTGAGAAGGATACATTCACAGAGATCAAGGGCACTAGCCCTTTATTAGTGAATTAACTTATGAACAGAATTTATTAATGTATAGATTCTTGCTCAAGGAAACAACAGACTAGTGCTGACTGGTTTTGAACCCACGTGGCAAGCCATCCTAACATTACTAGTCCGACGCTGTAACCACTCATCTCGGTCATGCCGCCCCTTCTTATTGCCCTGCACCTAACGCTGCAGTGTCACTTACATCCCAGCAGAGCCCTGGAAGATGTCCAGGTAATCCGGGTACGACCGGGAACAACCGGAGTACATCCGTTACTCTGCCGGCAACGTCCGGGATGATCCGGGAACATCCGGCATTCGACCCCGGATGAAATATAGCTTTGCCGACTTTGTCCTCAACTCTGCTGGGAACGACCGGGGTTACACCGGGGAAGCACCGTAACTCTGTCGGCACAAACCGTTGATGATCCGGGGTATGATATAGCCGGTAGAGCTACGGTAGAGCCCCGGTGAATGCAAACAGAGCCCCGGTGATTGACGGCAGAGCCCCGGCGGATGCCGGCAGAGCCCCATGAGGATAACGATGGAGTTACGGATGATCCCGGTAGAGCCCCGGCAAAGCCCGGTTCATTTCAAAAGAATCACGACAATTTTTGCGATGCTTGCACTTGTTTGTATTAAAACTCTTCCCCATTTCCGTTCTGTCCAGTCTTGCATAAGGGTTATTCAGAATATCATGAATTACTGCCCTGGAACAATAGATATTTTATTAAATGGAAATTATGTATGAACGTAATCATTTTCGCGCGTTTTCAATCTACCAGGGTTCTACCGGGGCTCTGCCGTGATCGTCCTGGGCTCTGCCGGGGCTCTACCTGGATCGACCGTAGCTCTGCCTGGATCAAGCGGGGCTCTGCCGGCGTCAACCTGGATCGACCGGGGAAGCGCGGGCATGAAACGTAGATTAACCTGGGCTCTGCCTGGATGGTCCGGAGGGCATCCTTGGTGGATAGTTGGGAATAGTAGTGTTGCCGGGGTAAGTGTGACCACAACAATAATTTCACCCCGGATCGCCCCGGATCATCCCAGTGGTCCTGGGCTGTGACGCGAGTAAGAGTGACCGCAGCTTTAAACAGTCTCTATCCAGCCCATAGTAACAGGTAAACTGGAGTTATGACGTAACAAATATACAAATTCGTTTGAAATAGTTGAATGTTTAAACATTAATTTAGAAAAGAATATGTTAGCTTACTTTTCATAAATTAAACATACATAAAAGTGATATTACAATGTAGTTGGTTTATCATAATTAGTAATCACACGAACTGTCTCTGATTAATTAATATCAGCTTTATAATTAATTTCAGTACATTTAATGTGGACATCTTGCAATCTAAGCGCTGAAGAACTATGTCTTACGTAATTAGAATACAGCAACTGTGTTTATGGGCCATTTAAATATTTATTTACGGAAACATGTTGCTATTTTAAGCACATCGCACGTGCACAAATTAATGTTTCCAAAATGCATTCATGAAATGATTGACCGAGTAAACCGACAATTAAGTTGTAACATACAATCACAATCTAGTTTCTTAAATACTACATTTATATCCTGATGAAATAAATAGCTTTGTTAACAAAACACGGTGGTTAAAATAATGGACAAAAAGTCACTTTAATGAAATGTTAGAGAAATAGGTGACTTTCCAAAGAATTTGGAATTCTTCCAAATGTTGTTTTGTTTACCGTCTTAGATGATGCAATACGAACGTCAGCGATTGGAAACGAGGCTTGTTTATGCATATTCATGAGGTATAGGCACATAGCCGAAGCTCTATATTATCTGATAAACGCTTAACCGAGGAAGATTTATAAATATAATAAAGGATTAATTTTGCAATTGTTGTTATATTTTTGGAATATTGAAGGCTTTAAGAGTGCCCGGGAATGCCGACAACTCCAGAAAAACTCACAAAATATGAAAAGGTTTGTTTAACACTTTTTCTGTATGTTAACCTCATGTTTAAACCAGTATGCGCTGATATATGATATATCTAGACGTGTAAAGTACAATCGTGACCTAGTTATGACATTGTTTTTATCGCTTTTGGCCTACATTTAACTTGTTAAATGTTGACTTCTATTGATAATGCAGCTATTCATGTAGAAATAGAGTGTTATTTGAAACCTAACATTGTAATAAACGCAATTTAAGAATGTATGTATTCGTTTAGCTTATATCGCATTCTCCACCATATTAACGTATTATGTAAAAGATATTTTATGCGGACTTGTTGTATAAATATCTGCTTAATATTGTTGAGTTAACGGCTCTTTGATAGAAATGGCATACTTGAAAAGTGCAAGAGCTACGTATTGATTCAGTGTTTGTTTGTGAAATGTGGCCATATTTTAGCCGATATTTTGATCAAAGTTTGCATCGAGCTTTTTGATTGGTTAATTTTGACTGTGTGGCCGTACACACCCTCATATTTCCTATATGTCCTTCAGAAAGGTCACCGCATCTAAAAATAGAAACAAGTAGGAGTCTGGTACTCTTTATTTTCGTAAATAACCTCATTAACCTACAAAAAATGTGTGCAATGTTTTCGATGGCGCTGTAACATTTCGTATAACAAAGTAGCAAAAATGTCTTAAAGGTCTTTGAACTTACTTTAATCTGCTATATAACAAGAATTCGCTAAAATATTTGTAAACTTTTGGCAATATACTTTGAAAATACTATTTGCGCAGTTTGTTTGTAACTGACCGAGGTTGAATAACCACAACATATATACTATATCTATATTGTTATTCACTAATAACGTTATGGTTAAGTATAATTCATTATAGCATGTTTCATTTATATTACATACGGCTAACTCTTCTTAAAGACGTATTCAAAATAAAGTAAATTTTCAAAGAGAAACAGAAACATGCGATGCTTGTGCTATAATGATAATAATTGTAATGTCTAACAGAAAAGATTAATCACTATGTTTCATGTTTTCAAGCAATTCTATTATGATGTGTGTCCTATACAACAATTGCGCTATATGACATTTCTATAAATAGTAGCTTTAATATTGATAGTATCTTTTGCAATAGTCTTTAAGATAATATTGGTAAGAAAGAGGTTTAAGGTATCCAAGATTAAACAGTGCGTGTTCTTATTCAAGCCGTCCATGACCTCTTACCATAATTCTCTTCCGTTGAGGATTACGTTTATTTGTTCAGTCATTGTATAAATTGTGTCATTTCAAGTTGAAGATTTGCCCCGATTTCGTAAAGCTGTTCTTTATATATACGGATGATATACTAATAAATATACTAGTAATACCAGAGATATGTGTTATACTGTATCCCCTTACATGATTACATCCGTATTATAAGATAACACATATTACATATAATGACAGTTTAATGTTTACACGACTACATTTTCATTACAAACATAAAGTCGGTTTGAAACAGTCAAACATAAAAAAGTTGTTTATAAAAATAACTGTCTGATTTTGCAACCAGATTACAAAAGTAACAAATAATGATAAAGTTGTGTTTACGCGATTATATTCTCATTGCAAACATAAAAAAGTCGTTTATAACAATCTGATTTTGCATCCAGATTACCTAATAAAGTTTTGTTTACATGCTTACATTTTAATTGCAATTATAAAAAGTCGTTTATAACAGTCTAATTTTGCACATTACCAATAATGATAAAGCTGTGTTTACATTTAGTACAATTTCACTGCCAAGATAAAAAAAGTCGTTAATAACAGTCTAATTTTGCATCCAGATTACATATGTAACCAAATTAATAATGATAATGCTTTGTTTACATGATTACATCTTCATTGCAAACATATAAGCGTCGTTTTGTTTTCATTGATCAGTTATTGTATCAGTTATTTTCATTCGCATATCTATTTGATATAGAAGCGTTTTAAGAACTCATAATGTTAAAATTGTCATGTATATTTAGTTGTGTACCATTTAATTAAGCATTTAATACAGCATAAGTGTAATAATGCGTAAGGAAAAACATATGAAATATCATTTATAACTTTCCCTTTAATTTACATGTTTGGTAGTTAATTTGTACTTTATAAAATGTTATTATTATATATCGTTATTATCATCATAATTAAGATATACATATGATGTAATTACTTTTTATAAAAAAAAAATCTGGAAAAGAGGTGATCATTCGGAAGCAATGAAACAACAATATTATATGAAAATTGCAGACTCGGTTTGATTGTGTCTGTTCATGAGAGATTATAATATTATAAAAGTGCCATTTCTTTCATGCCCCCTAGCACCGGCTAAAAGAGTATTTAATATTCAAAGCGGTATTCAATTTTCAACACTGACAATAAATATTAATTGACAATTTAGTAGAAAGTAGACATTTTATTTCATTCCAAAAGGCTTTAAAGCACGGAAATAAATAAAGAGGTTAAATCACAAAAAGTGTTTGACAACAATGTATTTACGATATTAAAAATCTTCAATTACAATTATATACATTGAGTATGTTTTTAGTTTGTATTATTTCAGTTTCAGTTTTTTTTTTATTTCCATAAGGCTTTTTAAGCCCATTTAGACAACATAAATAAATACATATATATGACATGACATATGTATAATTATGCAAGACCATGCAATGCGATTCCTTATTGTGTATGATAAATTTCTTCTGTTCTTATCTTATAATTTGAGAAGCAACAATAAATATCAACAACAATATTGTCATGGCATGTTGTTGTTTATAACAGTTTGATCAGGGGGTATTATAGAAAGGCATTTCATATCTAGAAAATGCCATTATTTAGATGTATACATTAATTGCTTTTGGACAGAACATTTTATCTTTGTTGTACTTTTACAAATAGTACTATTACAAAATAACAATGTCGATAAACATTGTTTGTATAAGCAAAAACATTGCATGCGCTTTATTAATTTGTTTATAAAACTCGAGACAAATATGAGGAAACAGTGAAAGTAAAGTTATAGCTTTATTTAAATGCAAAAATACCATTGTTAAGTCTTATTTTACTTCTAGTTGTAAAAAAGACAAAATACCGTACTTTGTAGTATTTATCATCATAACATTGAACATGACACATGAACTGGGGTTTTATTAAGGAATATTCCATAAAATAGTAGTAAAGTTATAATTTTGGGAGATCTTCAGTGGCTTATGGTTTTGGAATTCGCAAGCAGATACAATGGTATTTAATCATATTTGTACTATGAGAGATTTTAGAGTATCTGTAAAGTTTTTTTTTTCAAATAGTAATACCCTGTAATGTTGTTTTTAATTTGGGGATAAATAACGATGATACTTTTATAGTGCGTCAATAAATACGTTGACACCCTACAAATATATATAAAAACATGTAATCTTATTGACATATCAAACGATGAGTGATACCTACATGCAATGTACATTTTAATATTACTAAATACTAGTATACTTATAATCATCTGGAAATAAAGCGATCCTTTGGAAGTATTAAAATCAGTAAAATTACATGAAAATTGCAGACTCGGTTTATACATGTAGGATAATGAAAAAAAGGCAACATCGCCCACGCCTCCTAGCACCGGCTTGCGCGGTACTCAATTTTCAACATTCAAAAGTCTTAATTAAATTTGTACGCAGAAAAAAGTCAACATTTTCATTTCACATACTTAATTTTCACCATTATTTCCATTAATATACGATATGCTTGAACGTGTTATCTTAGAATACACATTTCTGAAATGTTGTAAAAGTTACTTAACTGAAAAAGACTTTTAGCATAGCAAAAAAAAGTTGAAACACCTTGAACAATTTACAGTCTTGAAGCAAGCGTATATGTAAACTTATTTACTATCTATAATGTGTTATAATATCTAAGATGAGTATAAAGTTATAAAGAAGGAAGTTCAAATAAATAGTTTGAATAGATAGTAGAGTATGAGAAATATAGAAACATAATATAATATATATTTCATTTTCTACTCAGGTTTGAATGTTTACAAGGAAGTTTTGATTCGATTCGACTATAATGCACAGTGGAGTAATCTCATTTTGTAATGTATTGAAAATAAACATTTTTATTGGCAACTCAATGCTTTTCAGCCGGTGCTAGGGGGCGTGGACGGCGTCTTGCATAAAACCAATACCTTCCATGAACAGATGCAAATTTATCAAATGTACAACATTTTCGTCTTTGCCGCAAGCGTTCGTTCTTTATTTATATTTTGTTGTCCTAAGATATAAAACCCCGATTTTTTGCTTCCCTAGGCATGCTATGCGGATATTGACATACATTTCCTCCAGTATAGTTAAACCAGCTCGCTCATCCATTCATTTTGACTGCTATTATTTGATGTCCCTTAAATAACAACAAAACTGTTTTAAAATGAATACATTGGCAGTCCACAAGGCAAAATTTAAGCAGGGTGAAGGTTGAAAGTACAAATTATAAACAGAAACTTCCGTAGCCTTGTGTTCTAGATTTGACCGGGTCATGTCAATATTTATGAAGATAACAATTGTAAACAAATTCAACTTGACCTTTCCTTACACTGGATGTGAAGACAGCTAATTAAAACTTGATTAAACCAATAAAATCTTGCCTTCGTAGCATAGATTCTTTAAAAGATTACATGTAGTAAACATTGTTTATTATTATATTATATAAATACATATAATAAAGAAATTATTTATTAATTTTCTTCCTATCTAGGGAATAATTGTTGTTTTGTTATGACAAATTATATATTTATTCTGAAGTATACATGTATAATTTTATGATGTGTATAATATGTTTTTCTTAATATCTGCCATGGTCTTGTTTTTGAGCACCATGAAAAATTTGTGAGTTCATCCAGATAATCATTTTTCCAAAAGACCGTTGCGAAATATTCATTTTATTAATAAGACTACTAGTAGAAAACAAAATGTCACATGTATACTTTGTTGCAAA